CGTCAGCCCCAACTTCAGACACACCTTCAGTCAAGCGTTGACGCTGAAGCCCCGTGTGAATGGGGCGTTATACTTGTAATTTAAACTTTATCATAGCTGTCTAAAACAATAGCAATGCAGTGTGACCAACAAATGACTACCCTGTTAATGTCGATGATTAAATTCAACTAGATACTGGCTTTAATTTGTGCTTTTTTAACAATCTTTGCATAAAAATCACTCACAGATTAAACTGTTAGACTTTTTTTCAGTTATTTACTTTACAGTTCACTACTGTAATATGCACTGCACTGTGGTCGTTTTAAAACTTTTACAGTGACTTGCTGCATATTAGGAATGTGTTGTATTCTACTGTAATCAAAGTAATCAAGAACTGCAAGTGTTCAAATTATTCATTAACATCTTGCATCACAAAACGTATTTAAAATAGACTGATGAATGAAAATTACTTTTGTAAACCATTTAAAATGGATATAATAACAACAAATAATAAAAAATATTGTTGTATGGGATCTTGGCGCTTGTTTGGAATTTATTAAGTTCAGTAGTAAATGCTAAAATTAAAGGTTTTGTCCTGCCAGTGTAAAATGTAAAAAAAAAAAACAGTAACAGTTCTGGAAAACTTGTGTTAAATGTGTTAAAGGGCATTTTACTACAAAAAAGAATTCACTGTAAGGCTATTTTACTGTAAAATGAAATTGCAATAGAGCCCTGCTACTGTAAAAATAAATATTTAGAGGTAATTTACTGTAGGGGGCCGTTCTGGTAAATTCCTGGCAGCAAGTTACCTCAAAAATAAAATGAAATGTCTGACATTGTAGATAACATGCCTCCTCCTTCATTTTACCCAAGACATGCTCAATAATGTTCATGTCTGGTGACTGGGCTGGCCAGTCCTGGAGCACCTTGACCTTCCTTGCTTTCAGGAACTTTGATGTGGAGGCTGAGGTTTGAGAAGGAGCGCTATCCTGCTGAAGAATTTGCCCTCTACTGTGGTTTGTAATGTAATGGGCAGCACAAATGTCTTAATACCACTCAGATCCCTCACATGCCCCTAAACTGAATGTAACCCCAAACCATGATTTTTTCCTTGACCAAACTCGACTGATTTCTGTAAGAATCTTGGGTCCATGCAGGTTCCAGTAGGTCTTCTGCAGTATTTGTGATGATTGGGATGCAGTTCAACAGATGATTCATTGGAAAACTCTACCTTCTGCCAACTTTAAGTCAAGTTATTATTTGTAGCTCTTACAACTGAGATCGACGACAAGACTTTAGTCAGGTGGTGTACACACATTTTATTAACAATCATTCATATTTTACATTTGATCTATAGTGTAAATAAAGAAGTATCCTTTAATCTCATTGACGACTGCCCTGTCGCACAAATAACAGGATAATGCCAGGTAATTACAGGCTTTATTGTTTCTAATTATGTCTATATCGCACTCTGCAAATGCTGTAAGTGCATCTGTGTAGCATTACTTCATATTTAATTCAATTGTGGCCACTTAGGCATTAGTATAAAAAACTGTATGTGACAGAACACTGACAGGAAACCTTGTTAATCTCAGTTTCAAGAAAGCAGGAATAAAATGAAATAATCTTTGCAATTACTCAACACAATGATAGAAAGCTGAAGCTGAATGGTGCATTATGATTAAACAGCAAACAAGTCGCCTGGCTTCTGGGCAGCTGTTTGTATTTATAGCTCTGTTCTGGTGTCTACATGCACGATTTTGAACGCTTTCAACTACAGAAGCATCACAGAAGCATGAAGGTGTGTCTATACTGTAAAACATTTTATTGTATTTTTGTGGTAACTTACTGGCAGCACTATTGTTTGTTTGTTTGTTTGGACTTTTCACGTCACAGCCGAGCTCTCCATACTCTAATATAAGTAAAATAAATTACATATACAAAAACACAATAATATTAATAATTTACAACGTTGTGGGGACGTTGCATTTTGTTTGGAAATGAAAATTGGGTTGACATCAGAACCCAACATCAGGCCGACATCAATGTCCAACATCCAACCTAAAATCAATCAAATATCAACGTCTGATGTTACAGCTTGATGGTGAGTGGATGTTACCACTATGACGTCTATCAGATGTTGGATTTTGGTTGCCATGACAAATGAATGTCAGTTTTTGATGTCAATATGATGTCGGTTTGAGAGGTTGGCTCCACGTTGGATTTTGGTCACTATCTAACACAATCTGAAGCTTCAGACACTGGCAGGACACTGAATTTTGGTCACCTGACACTACCTAAATTTTATTAATTAAATTTTTTTTTTTATTCATTTTAACAAATGAAACATTTACAGTACATTATATCACATTACATGCCAGGGATCAAAACAGAAATGTATCTTTTAAACAGATTTTACAGCTTTTTGATTAATACATTCAGAAATCGCTCCCTGCCTTCGCCTGGGTTTCCTCCGGGTGCTCCGGTTTCCCCCACAGTCCAAAGACATGTGGTACAGGTGAACTGGGTAGGCTAAATTGTCCGTGGTGTATAGGTGTGTGTGTGAATGTGTGTGTGGATGTTTCCCAGAGATGGGTTGCGGCTGGAAGGGCATCCGCTGCGTAAAAACTTGCTGGATAAGTTGGCGGTTCATTCCGCTGTGGCGACCCCGGATTAATAAAGGGACTAAGCTGACAAGAAAATGAATGAATGAATGAATGAATGAATGAATGAATGAATGAATGAATGAATGATTCAGAAATCAAAGACATGAAGATTTAGATCTTCAAAAAAAATCTGAAAGAAAGGTTTACGCTTACAAAATTTACACTTGTGTATAAAATATTTGGCCAAAAATATAACAAGATTAAATAAATAGAAAGCATCCGGGTGTTCGTTTTGATGGTTATATCCTAAAATAACATGTTCATATTTTAACATAACACCAGGAATTAAACCACTAAAGCCAAAAACAAAAATATCCGCTCTCTATTTCAGCGTGAGATAATCTCTTATCTCCTAATGCTGTCTATTATTGGAACAGACATATAGGTAATATTAACTGGAAACGAGTATGGAATTTACCTCAAAAACTTCCTAATGTACAATAAAATCTGTAAAGTGTCTTATAATAGAATACATATTTGCTACCCTACAAAGGTTTTTTTTTTTACAAAGGCTTATTTCTGAAGAATTGCTCCCTCTGTGATTACCAAACTGAAGATCTGTCTCGCCTTTTTTGGAATTGTGAATATACCAAAGATCTTTGGACATAACCTAAATCTAACCTAATATTAACATCTTATGACGTTGTGTGCCTGCTGGGCAATAACTAAATGCACTACAGAATGTTAAGTTTACACACATGCACAAATTACATGTAAATGCATCAGCTTTTTACAGCATAATACCCACACTAGGCATGGTATTAAAACCGCAAAAATGTTTTGTTATTCAGTTTCTAAGGTAAACGTAGAGGTTTTTTTTTTTTTTTTTTTAAATGTTTTTAAACATGTTGTAAAGAAATCAGTGTTTTTGAAGCTAATGAAGATGGTAGATGTCAATGGTTTATTTTAACCATGTAACCAGACATGTTTACTGTTCCAAAATATTATAAATGTTTCCTAAAATGTAATATATTGTGTTAAATGGGGGGGGGGGTGTTTTTTTACTAAGACATTTTTACTAATACATTTTTTCACAACAGTAAACACAATACCGTGATACCGTGATATATTTTTATCCAAGGTTATCATACTGTCAGAAACTTATACCGGTCCATGCCTACTGCTCTTAAGTACTTTTGAAAGGTCTAATTTTACTCTTTGAGTAATGTTTACAAAAGTTACTTTTACTCTACTTGCACCTCATTTTTAGACAAGTATTGGTACTTATACTTAAGTATGATTTTTCAGTACTCTTTTCGCATCTGTATATCAATCAGGCAGTGAAGATCACAGATTTTTAAAGAAATAAGACCTTAACATGACAATTTTATAATAGAAAGACAGTTCACCGAAAGCGCTGTCTGGCTAAAATTCAAAGTGCATGTGTATACCCTATTCATCTAGTTTGCCCAACAAACAAAAACAACACTATAATAAAAGTAAAACAGTATTAGTAAAAACTCCCCACCTTTCTTTCAGCTAATTCGCTTCCTTGCTCAGGGCTTGCCACAGCGGAATGAACCACCAATTCGTAGTGAACACTTTTGAAATGTAAAAAATACGTTGAGCTGTGCTTTCGTTGCATTACACCATCTTTACCACCAGATGGCTGTTATGTTTCGAGTAGGCCTACCTAGAAACAGTGAATCATTTTGCTTTGAATCATTTGATTCGAGTTTCCAGAAGCTTTGTTTGTATCCTCGCTACCAACAAGATCACTTTTCAAAGGGTGACTTCATTTATTTTTTGAATAAAGATATATTTTGGCCAGATTTGTCGGTGTTTATTCAGTTTTATATTACATGTGACTTTTCCTTCTGTTTTAATAATATTTTCTTTGGTTGTTAGACGATTCTCAAGAAAACTTGGGAAAAGGGTTTATAATTAATTTATGTTTTCTGTTAGCCAAGTTTTATATTCATAAACAAAGGTTTATTCGCTCTAAAGCTTTTTATTATTATTATTATTATTTACCCATAATTGACTGTAAGCAATATTTGGAAACTATCCGGTCTAGAATTTAGTCCAAAAGCAATGAAAACTGTTTTTTCTCCTTGTTTTTTTAAGATGTAACTTTATTACATTACTTTGGTCATTATTACCCTGGTGTTATGTGTGTTTTTGGGCTTATTGCTGTGCTACTTTTACATTTATTTGTCTCTGTGTTTATAAATGTATTTGTTCTATCAATTTACATTGATAAAAATATTTTAAAAGAAGTTCATACAACGGTTCACCGAGTCATTTGGGGTTCAGCTCAGCGATAGGAGCACGTGATGCAGATGGAACCAGTTTGAGGTTGCCATCTACTCCATCGTGAAAACATCCCTGGCTTACGTCTTACGTATCGGTTGACGTAACAGCTAGCAGACTACGGTGCGCCGTTTGTGACCAAGAGCAGAACGCGCGAACTGAAGGAATACGAGCAACATTTCAGGTAATAGCATTCAAACTAAACTTTTTTAAACAGCATAAACGCAGATCTGATGTTATAAGCGTAATATATGCAGGTTAACTATGTTCCTGTCGCTAACTAGCGCGTAAGCTAAAGGATTTATAAGTGAGTCATGATACGCTTTTGGGGCCTCTGTGCTGCCGTCGTTTCAGTACTCAAGCGAAAGCCCGCCTTCCCCGTGTTTTAATTGGACGAACGCAAGAATTCCGGCTTTTGATTGGACGAGAGCCACGCCAGCCAAATAAAGTAACGGCAATAGGAAGTAAAAAGGAAACGTTTTCATGTCAGAGAAAGAAGATAAACATGGCAAACTGGGTTAATTAAAGTTTAACATTACTGTTTAAAGTTTATATATTAATTTTCCGACACCAACTGTTTTAGCCATATAACGTTAAATAATGTACAAGTAGAGACTACTATATATAAACCATTGCATTAAAGCGCTTACCTTATTGTGTTTATATCTCAGCGGAATATATTTACAACATTGCAGTGTAAAAGTTAGTGTAACAGAGTTATTATAAATGCAAGCTTCTTTTTATTATGCTCATTTCATTATTAATATTATATATTCAAGTATGTTATTTATTGTGTTCAATTTTAAACTGTTGACTCTATAAGTTTCCATTTTCATTTTTACTTTCATTCTCGCTTATAACAATTTAAGATAGAATTATGTGTTTAATTCATATAGTTTTTGGTCTGTATGACTAAAACAATATTGAAGAACAAGCTTCTACTTCAGTTCAGCTATCAAATATAATATAAATATCTCAGTTCAGAGTGCAATGTCAGTGTTTTGTATTCTGTTATTTGATTCAGTATCAGGTCTTGTATCAGAACAATAACCCGCACTAAACATTTGTTATAAAATAGTTTAAAGTGATCTTTCTCAAGTTTTTGGTACATTTCCTGGTAGTCAACAACATTGTTACCACCCTTTTACTATAATAAAATCATGTTTTGTTTTGTCACCGAAGTTTGGTGGCAGTGAGCTAAACCGCTCTGCAAGTTAATAAAACACATGCAAATAGGAAAACACTCACAAATCTCCATCAAATTGACAACACTCATACTCTAGCGCAAGTGCAAATTCTCCCATCACATGCAAAAAAAAAGTAACATTCAGCAAGTTAAGAAAAAAACATCAGTTTGACAGCACACATGCATGCAAATTCATTTTTTATCTAGATTAAATGGCTCATTTGAGTTCTGCCGAAGGCATTCAGAATATATGTGCTATCTAAATAATACGTCTTTGAGAACGGGTTTCTCAAGCCAGATGGCGCATTAGACCAGGGGCTCATCTCCTGTTTTTAAAATGCATCACAAACTGCTTGAGAAACTGTTCTACTATAATAATTGGTGATGAAAATAAATGATGTTCAATAAGATGTACTTGTGTTTACTGTTTATTCAGTTTAACATGAATGTTGAACTGTAGGCCTACATTAGCTCGAAACAGCGATTTTTGATCACTTTAATCCAACTAAAGTCAGAACTGAACTAAACAGAAATGGAATTAAGACATGTTGAGTATGCTTTTATTAATGGCATTATTGAAGTAAACACCGCAATCAAACTATTACAATCATGTAGGACTTACCGCCAAATTTTCCGACAAGATCCACATATGCTGCTATCAATAAAGGACCGCACACACAAACACATCACGGAATGCGGAATGTTTTTTTCTTTCCGTTTGGTGTGCGTTATTAAATTTCATGACACTCTCACCAGTCCTTACTCCTTATTTGCCTCTAATATCCTAGTTTGTCATGGCGGCATGAATGAAATTTTCTTGATTTAAAGTGAATCTGCCGAACTGCAGTTTAAGTCAGGCATCCTGCTGATTTGATTTAGAAGGGCGATTTTTTTTTTTTTTTTTTGTCAGACGGCTCATCGGTCAGGTATTCATCCGCGCTAAAATATTAAGGTGAAAGTCATCATAGCTTACGTAGAATACCCAGCTCCCAACCCAACTTTGAGAATAGATTAGCAGCAATATTTTTTAATCGCCAGTGAGAGTCTCATGTTAACGCAGTGTGTTAACGCCGATAACGGCCCACCACTAATCCAAACCTGTACTAACAATTGCAGAAAGACTCACACACCAGTTAAAAAGCACAACAGCAAAGCACTATGTCTGATACAGTTCTAAACATTGTTCGATTTGGTGCCTGTCCGTGACTAATATAATGTCTTATTGTTATTATAAAATTTGTTATTTTCACAGGAAGGTTCATGGATCCTTCAAATAAAGTTTAGTAACATTCCTCCTTAACCGGCAGCATCATGGATGCTCCAAAACGGAAATTAAGGTCTGGAAAAGACATTTCAAAGGACAAAGGCCAGTCTAAGAGAAAAGCCAGTGATACTGGCACAGAAGATGTTTCCCCAGCACCTAAAAGTGCTAAAACTTCTGATGATTCAGGATATGTGTGTAATGAAGAAGAACATGAGCATGGTGAGACAGATACAGTGGGAGATCAGACAAGATCTATACAATCTAAAGAGTGTGACTCTTCAGAAACAAGCAATCCTTTAGTTTGTTCAGTGTGCAGTTTTGTTGCAAAAACTCAAACTGCACTGAAAATTCACTCAAAGCGGAAACACTCACAATTACAAGAAGCTGAAAACCAAACACACCTCTCAAAGGTGCATCTGGAGAGTTCTTCAGTGTCTCTGTCAGAAGAGGACAAACAATCGGATTGCTGCGTGGATGAAAACTCTGTGAAGGTTGTTGGAAACTCAAGATCTAGTCCTACTCAGATGTTGCTGGAAATAGTTGAACCCACTTCATGTAGATCAGGAACTGATGGTGAAGGTACAAATGAGGCCAACATAGGTGGCGTTACAAATGATGGAATGGATGAGAATGATAAAAGTCAAAAGCATTCAACGTCTAATACTCCACAAACATTAGCAGTTGGACACAGTACAGACTCTCATAGAAAAGAGACAAATTGTGATAGCGAGGAATGCATGACCAGCAAGAGCAGCAAAAAGATGTTAGGAAATCAGCATTCGTTAAAGACAACAGCATTGTTGAAGCGTTCGACTGGAGGCAAGTCACAACATCAGTGTGGTAAGTGCACCTTCACAGCTGACAACTCCGTAATGTTAGCACAACACATTAAAACGCACCATCCGGTGGAGCACCGTTTCCACTGCAAGATTTGTCATTACTACACCACCACCACCGAGGCAATGGAGGCCCATCTGACAGAAGAAGTCCACCAACAGGTAGCCAAAGAGAAAAGCCTTAGCTCTCTATTTAAAGACTGTGTTGAAAAAGTCCTTGTGATTCAATCCGATCAAAGAGAAGACGAAGACATGAATGATAGTGATACCCAATGCTCTAACGAAGCTGTGGAGGTTCAGGGAACAGAAAACCTACTACAAGAACCAGCAGAGGATGGAATGAAAGATTCTCCTCAGAAACGGAAGCGAGGCAGACCGAAGACATCTAACGGCACTGTTTGTAGTCATTGTGGGCTCGTTGCTTCAAGTGCCACCAACCTCAGTGTTCACATAAGACGCAGGCACAGTCGGTTGTACAGCTTTGTTTGTAAGTTTTGCAACTACTACTGCGTGACCAAAGGGGATATGGACCGCCACTGTGAAACAAAAAAGCACATCAGCAGAATGCATGCAGCTGGAACTGGCAGTGGGGTTGTTCTGCTAAGTGCTGAGCAGTCGAGTCAGTCAAAGGCAAATGAGGCAGAAACGGTTGACAAAGTTGCAGATATTGAGATGTCTGTAGATGAAGTGGACAATACTGACTCCAGTGTTGTGGCATGTAAGAAAATCAAATATGACTCTGGAAACAATTGTTCTCAGTGCGACTTTGTTGCTCATTCGGCACAGTCTCTTGCGCTCCATGTGCGACGCAAGCACACAAAAGACTTTGAGTTTGTTTGTCTAGCGTGCTCCTATTACACTGTAACGCGCAGGGAGATGTTTAGGCACATGGCAACAGAAAAGCACAAGCAACAACGTGAGTGTTACTTGAAAAGACAAAGTAATGATCCTTCTGAAGACCCGGAAGTGATCACCGTTTTAGCATCCGCAAGTCCAACAACTAAAGATGCAGATCTTTCAGCGGACTTAAGTGAGGAGAATTGTAATAACGAGAATGGAGAAAAGCAGTCTGACGAACAGAGTACCTCTAAAGATAACGAAGAATCAGATCCAACCGTTTCTGATGTGATCCAGTCAATAAAGATGGAGGATATGGTTGAGGAAAATGAGATGGACGAGGATGAAATTGCAGATTCGGGAGATGAAGGTCAATCTACTGAGAAACACCTTCGACTGACACAGTTAGATTCTTGCATATATCCCTTGAAAACTATTGCAGAGCACAAGCAGGCCTCACTTACTGGAGATGCAATTGCAGGTGGAGTAAACAAGCAGAGCATCAGAAAGCCTAAAACCCTTGACGCTAAAAATGCCAAGTCAATTCCACGTATACGCTGTGAAGACTGTGGATTTTTGGCAGATGGCATAAGTGGCCTAAACGTTCACATCTCCATGAAGCATCCATCCAAGGAGAAGAATTTCCATTGCTTGCTTTGCGGAAAGTCCTTTTATACGGACAGCAACCTGCAACAGCACTTGGGCAGTGCAGCGCACATGCGCAATGAGAACGGAAGCATTGAAGAACTTGCAGAAGGAGGTGCCAGCTTTAAATGTGTCCGATGCAATGAGCCCTGCCAAACAGAGCAGGAACTATTTGTGCACATCAAAGAAAAACACGAGGAGCTGCTGAGGGAAGTGAACAAATACGTGCTGGAAGACACAGAGCAGATCAACCGAGAGCGGCAGGAGAACCAGGGCAGTGTGTGCAAGTACTGCGGCAAAGTATGCAAGAGCAGCAACTCCATGGCTTTCCTGGCTCACGTTCGAACACACACAGGTACGTCTCTCTTTATTATTAACACTACATGTTTTTGCATAACCTTTGTTACTCTTTGACTCTCGAAACATTTCCTAGTAGCATATTACATGTAGTGGCAATTACTTTTGAGGTACTTACTATTTTGCTAAATTCGTTTGCCACCTTAACACATTTGCCACCTTGATTCACTTTGAGTTTAGATCTGGTACATGTCGCACTTGTCGAAGGTTAGAATACCAAGCACCCTTTACCTGTAATATAAACAAATATAAATAACATGAGCCTACATACAGTTTAGGTCTAAATTATAAGCCCTGCTGTAATTGTTTTTCCTCATTAATGTACACACAGCACCCCATATTGACAGAAAAACACAGAATTTTTGAAATTTTTGCAGACTTAATAAAAAAAACTGAAATATCACATGGTCCGAAGTTTTCAGACCTTTTGCTAAGTATTTAATAGAAGCACCCTTTTAATCTAACACAACCATGAGTCTTTTTGGGAAAGATGCAAAAAGTTATATATACCTGGATTTGGGGATCCTCTGCCATTGTAGATCCTCTCCAGTTCTGTCAGGTTGGATGGTAAACATTGGTGGAAAGCCATTTTTTGGTCTCTCCAGAGATGCTCAATTGGGTTTAAGTCAGGGCTCTGGCTGGACCATTCTAGAACAGTCACGGAGTTGTTGTGAAGCCACTCCTTCCTTATTTTAGCGGTGTGCTTAGGGTCATTATCTTGTTGGAAGGTAAACCTTCAGTCCAGTCTGAGGTCCTGAACACTCTGTGGAAGGTTTTCGTCCAGGATATCCCTGTACTTGGCCGCATTCATCTTTCCCTCAGTTGCAACCAGTCGTCCTGTCCCTGCAGCTGAAAAACACCCCCACAGCATGATGATGGCACAACCATGCTTTACTGTTGGGACTGTATTGGACAGGTGATTAGCTGTACCTGGTTTTCTCCACACATCGATTCTATCTTGGACTCATCAGACTAGAGAATCTTATTTTTACCATCTTGGAGTACTTTAGGTGTTTTTTAGCAAACTCCACTGAGAATTGCAGTGATGGTTGTCTTTCTATAACTTTCTCCCATCTCCAAACTGCATCTCTGGAGCTCAGCCACAGTGATCTTTGGGTGCTTCGTTACCTCTCTCACCAAGGCTCTTTCTTCCCCGATAGCTCAGTTTGGCTGAGTGGCCAGCTCTAGTAAGGGTTCTGATCATCCCAAATGTCTTTCATTTCAGGATTATGGAGACTACTTTAAGTGCAGCAGCAACTTTTTTGTAACCTTGGCCAGATCTGTGCCTTGCCACAATTCTGTCTCTGAGCTCTTCAAGCAGTTCCTTTGACCTCATGATTCTCATTTGCTCTGACATACATTGTGAGCTGTAAGGTCTTCTATAGACAGGTGTGTGGTTTTCCTGATCAAGTCCAGATGGACTCATATGAAGGTGTAGGACCATCTCAAGGAGGATCAGAACAAATGGACAGCACCTGAGTTAAATATATGAGTGTCACAGCAAAGGGTCTGAATACTTAGGAGCATGTAATATTTAAGTTTTTCCTTTTTAATAAATCTGCAAAAAAAAAGTCAACAATTTTGTGTTTTTCTGTCAAAATGGGGTGCTGTGTGTACATTAATGAGGAAAAATCTACTTAAATGATTTTAGCAAATGGCTGCAATATAACAAAGAGTGAAAGATTTAAGGGGGTCTGAATACTTTCCATACTCACTGTTTTTGCTTAATTTAAAGAGGAAAATTGAATGTCTTTTTAAAATTGTTTTTTTCAGGATCTAAACCGTTCAGGTGCAAGATCTGCAACTTTTCCACTGCTCAGCTCGGGGATGCTCGCAACCATGTTAAGAGACATCTAGGCATGAGAGAGTACAAGTGTCACATCTGTGGGTGAGTTTAAGAGAGATGTGAGGGGGGAGATTAACCCCCTCACGACACTCTTAAGTTTAATATGATTTTTGTGTAGGACGTTTTATGAAGAAGAGTGCCTTTGCACCTCACAAACCCTTAAATAAACAAAGCAGGGGATGCTAAACATTTCTTTTATTTCACAAAAATAATGAAGCATACAGTAAGATGCGGATATTTGAATTTATAGGTTAATGGTGCTTTGGGAGAACTTTCAAATCTGAAGCTTGAAGGGTTTTTTAATCAAGGTGAAATGATTGCATGGATAATATAATGAGGGAAACTGTATCTCTCATTGGTATTATACAGCAATTATAATTAATGAATATTTGTTTTGGCTTTTAATTAGTTCATTTAAAAGTAGATAAGAAGTTGTTTATTCAGTTCAATTCATGTTTAACCCTATAACGCTTTTACAATGTAGATTAGCATAGAAGTTCTAGTAAATGTAAACTGTGTCAGTCCAGTTTTCAGAGTTGAAGTTCAGTTTAATTCAGTTCAGTGTGGTTTAAATTTCCTCGCTGGAAGTCGAAACACTGATTCAAATTCATAAATGCGCAACTTTACAAGTCGAAACACGCAAGGCAGTGGAGACAGTGGCAAGGAACAAACTTCACCAATTGACGAAAGTGAAGGAGAAAAAAAAACTTGTTTATGAATATACTGATCAAGCATTTAGTGGATCAAAGTACATTTTTAAATATTCCTTCAGTTACTGTACTTTGATTTATTACCATGTTTTGATTAAATAAATGCAACCCTGGATCACAAAATGTAAAATTAAGATCTAAGCATCATCTAAAGCTAAATTAATAAGCTTTTGTATCGTATGTTATGATTGGGCAATTTATTTTTCAGATTGAAACCCTGTAATTGTCTAAAATGAGTTCTTAGCAATGCATATTACTAACCAAAAGTTCAAAATATATCAAAAGTTTTCAAATTTGTACAGAAGGAAATTTTAAAAGAATGTCTTCAATGAAGATCATCTTTACTTAACCCTCTACTACACATTGTTGACATATGGCAACATGATACTTATGTTCATTTCCCTGCCACTGTTTCTTTAAGACCAATGTTAAAAAAATTTTGTTGGAAAGAGAAGACCTTAGTTTAGCCAATGATGCGCTTTTTTGTGATTTCTGACAGACTGGCATTTATTGTGAGTAGTTGTGAAATGCAAATGAAAACGTTCAAGTAACTGTTCCAAAAGTTCCCCTTTCCTTAAACAAATACATTTAAAAAAGCAAATATAAATAAATAAATAAACAGTTTTGTTTATGTCTGGAGAAAATAAGTAACTTCAGTGCATCAAAGATAGTAAATTGCAAAAAATTTAAATGTAGCAGTATTAATTTGTTCCAAACATTCACCAAATATAAATAAATAAATAAATAAATAAATAAATAAATAAACAAACAGTTTTGTTTATGTCTGGAGAAAATAAGTAACTTCAGTGCATTAAAGATAGTAAATTGCAAAAAAATTAAATGTAGCAGTATTAATTTTTTCCAAATATTCACCCAATATAAATAAATTAATGAATAAACAGTTTTGTTTATGTCTGGAGAAAATAAGTAACTCAAACTTCAGTGCATCAAAATGTAGCAGTATTAATTTGTTCCAAACATTCACCCCTACTCAAGCATTGTAAGTTATTTGCCTTCTGTAAATAACTCTGGCATTGTAAGTGATCAAAATAATTTTTTCTCTGAATCTGTTAATCAAGTGTATATTGTGTATACTCATACTATTTCCTGACTGAATTTGGCGTAAATTTCACAGATGGGCATTTGTGATGAAGAAACATCTCAACACTCATCTACTGGGCAAGCATGGACTGGGCCAGCCAAAAGAGAGGTTTGAACTATACACTCAGCATCTACACTTTTGTGACATAATTAACATAATTTCTGTTTCATATTCTTATAAGGCATTATAAACACTGACTTTGTGTGTTTACATGACTTTGTAGAACGTTTGATCTTTTTTAAAATCAATTAGTCAATTCAACTTGAATTACCAATTTAATATCTGAGTAAACAAAGTTCTACTCCAAGTTCACCACATTTGAGGTCATCGCATACTGTATATCTTGCAGTATATATTTATAAATAATATCAAATAATGAAAACGTGTATGTTTTTATCAAATATATTTGACTACCACTGGCTAAAACTCAATCAAAAACACAGTTGTGTTGTGAATAATATTAGAAATGCGTTCTCTTAAAAATAAATGAACTACCTCACAATTTAAGTTGTCAACATGCAGATAAGGCATCATAAAGATAAGACCAATTTGTGTTTACCACAGACCTTAATTTACTCAAGAATTAAAAACAATTAATTGTTAGAAATATTGTACAATCTTGAGGGAATCGTCAATGAATTAGATGCCATGGCTGAAACAAGGTTAGTTCATGTCAAAATGAAAACTTAATTTCGAAGATCAATTTTGATCTTGATCAAAAACAACACAAAGATCTTAAATGTAATAAGCAATTCATCCAGAGATGCTCATGAATAGTTATTAGTTTTTGTTTGTTTTCATTGCTAATATATACACAAGTAAGTCTAATATTTATAACTATCTAATAACTAATATTTATAAACTAATTTCGAAAGGATCACGTGCTTATGATTGATCACAACTAGTCCCGCATAGAATATTATAAATAATCATAAATAACTTAAGTTTCATACCACAGTCATCTTTATTTTGAAGAATCCCCCCTTCCACCCCTACTCCTCCTCTTTTCCTAGATGGGTAGTAGTTAGCCAGTAGTTAGAACTGTTGCCTGACAGCAGGAACGTTACTGGTTCTGGTCCTTACCAGGCCAGTCGACGTTTCTGTGTGGAGTTTGCATGTTCTCCCTGTGCTCACTCAAGTTTCCCCTGGGTCTCCAATTTCCTCCTACTATCCAAAAACATGCGACTTAAGTTAATTGACTAATCCATATCGGCACCATAGACATGCTCCTAAGTACTAAGTAGTTATCTCTTCATAACAATCCCTAATTGTTCATTAGCTACAAACAACAGGGGAATTCTCGAGATCTGCCTGAGCTCAAACTCCCCTCTCGCCCTGCAAACGGGAGGGAGCCCCGGGCTCAAGGATTTTATGAGCTCAGGGCTCTCTCCTGGGACTGCACGCCAAACAAGCTTTATAATCAATCATCAGCTAAGTGTGAACTCTTGAAAAAGGGTCGAAACCTGGGTCCAAGTAGTACAAACTGTGGAAGAACTGCAGCTGATTGGTCAATGTGCTCTCTGTTGTAGGAAGTTTGAGTGCGAGTTGTGTGATCGGACCTTCAGTGAGAAATGGGCACTGAATAACCACATGAAACTACACACAGGAGACAAACCCTTCAAGTGTGCATGGCCATCGTGTCATTACGCCTTCCTGACTCTCTCTGCTATGAAGGACCATTACAGGACACACACAGGTACAAAATAAGATCCGCACTTTAGGAACAGACAGTAAATAAATATCCTTTGACCGAAGGCCATAGCTAAGGACAGGCTTTTTACAAGTGTAATTCTGGAGATATGATGGGAGTAAACCCAATATAGATTTGTAAACAAAGATATGCCACTGCTTGAGCCTACGAATGGACTTTAAGCAATGTCATTGATTTTCTGTTTTAGGAGAGAAGTCTTTCTTGTGTGATCTCTGTGGATTTGCTGGAGGAACTCGTCATGCGCTGACCAAACATCGTCGCCAGCACACAGGTACACACCACTGTGGACAATGCCAAACTAATTAAAGACTTGGATATAATGAAGTAAAAATAAAACTCATTTGAAATGCAAAGAAATGTAATTAATGTGACTGTTAGTTACAAATTTTAACATTGATAATAAGGTTTAAAGGGTTAAGTTCACCCAAAACTGAACATTTCCTCACCATTTATTCACACTGAAGTGGTTTTAAATGTTCACGAATTTCATTTTTCTGTTGAACACGAAACAAAGTTACATTGGAATTTCTTTATTATTACAATTTTAAAAAAGTAATTTACATCCATGGTTAAATAAAATACAATGGAAGTCACTGGCTGCTGCTTTCCAACACTCTTCATTATATATAATTGTTTGTGTTTAACAAGGAAACTCAAACAGGTTTGAATGCAGTTCAATTTTGGCTGAACTATCTTTTCAAAAGAGTTTTGGACTGATAACAGGTGAAGCTAGAATTAGCTGACATCTCGTTTTAATGATGTTTCTCTGTTGGCTGCAGGTGAGCGGCCCTTCAAGTGTAAGCTGTGCAACTTCGCCTCAACTACACAGTCCCATTTGACGCGGCACAAGCGTGTGCACACGGGCGAGAAGCCTTATCGATGCCCCTGGTGCGACTACAGGTACAATAACCCTCTCAGCTTAGTCTTTTTTCATGTTGATATGAACAAAAACATAAGGAAGAAAGACTCAACGCGAGACCACTAAAACACATGAGCACACTTCATAACCACTCATGTGCTTCAATGCATTGTAATGTAATTGTAAATCTCTTTTAGACAGCACTTTGGAAATATTTTTAAAAGAATGAAAGTTTCACTGGAGGGCTAATAATAACACTATTTATGTGAATGAATGTTTTGTTAAGGTGTTATATACACTAGAAGTCGAAATTATCAAATTATCAATTTCAAATACTTCCCAAATGATGTTTAACATAGTGGCACAGTAGGTAGTGCTGTCGCCTCACAGCAAGAAGGTCGCTGGTTCAAACCTCGGCTCAGTTGGCGTTTCTGTGTGGAGTTTGCATGTTCTCCCTGCCTTTGCGTGGGTTTCCTCCGGGTGCTCCGGTTTCCCCCACAGTCCAAAGACATGCTGTACAGGTGAATTGGGTAGGCTAAATTGTCCTCAGTGTATGAGTGTGTGTGTGAATGTGTGTGTGGATGTTTCCCAGAGATGGGTTGCGGCTGGAAGGGCATCCGCTGCGTAAAAACTTGCTGGATAAGTTGGCGGTTCATTCTGCTGTGGTGACCCCGGATTATTAAAGGGACTAAGCCGACAAGAAAATGAATGAATGAATGAATGTTTAACATGTTGAGGAAATTTTCACAGTATTTCCAATAATATTTTTTCTTCTGGAGAAAGTCTTATTTGTTTTATTTCGGCTAGAATAAAAGCAGTTTTTACATTTTATAAAACCATTTTCAAGGTCAGTATTTTTAGCCCCCTTAAGTAGTATATATTGTTTTGATTGTCTACAGAATAAACCACAATTATACCTATTTATTTGCCTAATAACCCTAACTTGCCTAGTTTGGAATTGAAATGTGTATCTTCTGTCATCAGATCTAATTGCGCAGAGAACATCCGTAAACACATCCTGCACACAGGCAAGCACGAGGGGGTGAAGATGTATAACTGTCCTAAGTGCAGCTATGCCACCAATGCCCCGATGGACTTCAGAAACCACCTTAAAGAGACTCATCCCGACATCGAGAACCCAGATCTGGCTTATCTACATGCAGGTAGACACACATTTTCAAAGGAACACTCCAGTTTTTTTCAAAATAGGCTCCTTTTACAAATCTTCTAGAGTTAAACAGGTGAGTTTTAGCATGTTTGAATCCATTCAGCTCATATCCGGGTATGACAGGGGAACTTTTAGCTTAGCTTAGCTTAGCATAAATCATTGAATTAGATAAGACAAATGAAAAAAAGTTAATAGAGTTTGATAATTTTCCCATTTAATGTTTGAAACTTCTGTAGTTAGTTAAACTGTGTACTAAAATCAATGCAAATAAACTATACTCTCACTCTGGCATTATAGTCAAGGGAATTTGCTGCTCTACCATGGCTGCAGCAGGCACAATAATATTACCTAGTTACCTAGCTGTGGACTATTTTCAGGAATGCATATCATCACAATAGTCCCGAAAGTCCCTGACCCATGGGATCACTGTGCCTGTTTTAGAATCACATATTGTGCCAACTTATTAGTATTAAAGTTGCCATGAAATCACAATTTACTCTTCTTAATTTTACATGTGTATAGTAAAACTGAAAGGGAAAGTCGTGACAAGTGGTATGGTGACCCACACTGGGAAATCGAGTTCTGGATTTAACCCATCCAATTGCATACACACAGCAGTGAACAAACAGACCCTGAACACACACCTGGAGCAGTGGGCAGCCGTTGCTGCGGCACCTGGGTAGCAGTTGGGGGATTGGTGCCTTTCTCAAGGGACTCACCTCAGCTGTGGTATTGAGGGTGGCGAGAGCGCTGATGATTCACTCCCACCACCTACAATCCAAGTTTAAATCCAACTTTCAAACCATTAGACCATGGCTGCCCCATAAAGTAGTACAAGTATTACTAGTACTAGTAGCAGTAGTAAAAGTAGTAGCAGTAGCAGCAGTAGTAGTAGTATTAGTAGTAGTAGTAGTTTTAGTAGTAATAGTTGTAGTAATAGCAGCAGTAGTAGTAGCTGTAGTAGTAGTAGTAGCAATAGTTGTAGTAGCAGTAGCTGTAGTAGTAGTAGTTGTTGTTGTTGTTGTTGTAGAAGTAGCAGTAGCTGTAGTAGTAGTAGTTGCAGTAGTAGTTGTAGTGGCAGTACCAGTAGTAGTTTTAGTGTTAGTAGGAGTAAAAGTAGCAGTAGCTGTAGTTGTAGCGGCAGTATTAGTTGTAGTGGCAGTAGCAGTAAAAGTAGCAGTAGCTGTAGTAATAGTTGCAGTTGTAGTGGCAGTATTAGTTGTAGTGGTCGTTGTAGTTGTAGTGGCAGTATTAGTTGTAGTGGCAGTAGTAGTTGTAGTGGCAGTAGCAGTAAAAGTAGCAGTAGCTGTAGTAATAGTTGTAGTTGTAGTGGCAGTATTAGTTGTAGTGGCAGTAGTAGTTGTAGTGGCAGTAGCAGTAAAAGTAGCAGTAGCTGTAGTAATAGTTGCAGTTGTAGTGGCAGTATTAGTTGTAGTGGCATTTGTAGTTGTAGTGGCAGTATTAGTTGTAGTGGCAGTAGCAGTAAAAGTAGCAGTAGCTGTAGTTGTAGTGGCAGTAGTAGTTGTAGTGGCAGTAGCAGTAAAAGTAGCAGTAGCTGTAGTAATAGTTGCAGTTGTAGTGGCAGTATTAGTTGTAGTGGCATTTGTAGTTGTAGTGGCAGTATTAGTTGTAGTGGCAGTAGTAGTTGTAGTGGCAGTAGCAGTAAAAGTTGCAGTAGCTGTAGTAGTAGTTGCAGTTGTAGTTGTAGGGGCAGTATTAGTTGTAGTTGTAGTGGCAGTAGCAGTAAAAGTTGCAGTAGCTGTAGTAGTAGTTGCAGTTGTAGTTGTAGGGGCAGTATTAGTTGTAGTAGCAGTTGTGGTTGTAGTGGCAGTTGTAGTTGTAGTGGCAGTAGCAGTAAAAGTAGCAGTAGATGTACTAGTAGTAGAAGCTGCAGCAGTAATAATAGCAATAGTAGTAGTAGTAGTAGTAGTAGTAGCAGTAGCATCATAGCAATAGTAGTAGCGATAGTAGTTGTAGTGGGAGCAGTATTTGTTGTTGTCGTTGTTGTTGTTGTCGTTGTTGTCGTTGTTGTTGTTGTTGTTGTTGTTGTTGTTGGGCATATTAGTGGGTGTCTCGTTTCTGCTCTCAATTTGTCCATTCGTCAATCTTCCTTCATTTTGTTAACACCCTTGTTCAACAATCCAATCTGTTTCTAAAGAATAAAATCATGACAGCCTTACGTTTTATTTTCTAATATCAGGACTATTTCAAGCAAATGTACATCACAATAGCAGAGACGCACATTATTTAACTTAACTTCCATTCCATGGAGTCTTTTAAGGAATAGCTCACCCAAAACTGCAAATTATGTCATTACTTAATCACCCTTTACTTGTTCCAAACCCGTTTTACTTTCTTTCTTCTGTCGAACAGAAAGGAAGATCTTTTAAAGAAAGCTGAAATCCTGTAACCACTGATGTCCATAGGATTTGTTTTTCCGACTATAAAAGATAATGGTGACAGGTTTTGAGCTTTCTTCAAAATATCTTTGTTGATATAAAGGTTTGGAACCACTTGAGGGTTAGTAAATAGTGAGTAAATGTTCATTTTTGAGTAAACTATCTATTTAAATGACACCTCAGTTTCTCGTTAAGTGACCATGTTGAGTCAAAGAATGCATTTAACATCCCAATATGTCTTTCTACTCTCTTGTGTTTGTTGCAGGAATTGTATCCAAGTCCTATGAGTGTCGTCTGAAGGGTCAGGGGGCATCTTTTGTCCAGGCAGAAACTGTGTTTTCCCCTGAGGAGAGCGAACTGGGTTCTGAGGCAGTTCAGCAGGTCATCATCATCCAGGGCTACAGTGGAGGAGAGGTGGCCATCGATCAGGCTCTGGAGCAGTCGGCCGCTGCCACTTTACAGACCCTCGCCATGTCCAGCCAGCTGGCCGAAGTGCTGCACATCACCGAGGACGGGCAGCTCATCACATCCGGTCAGGAAGTCTCTACAGGAGGCCAGACCACTCAATATGTCCTGGTGGAGTCATCCGGAGAAACCGTAGGAGAAGGAAGACCAGAAGTGGAGGCTGGACACAATGCATCTGAATCGTCTTCTGCTCTGGATGCTTTGCTTTGTGCTGTGACGGAGTTGGGCCAGCAGGCCTGCGCTGCTGAGGGAGAGATTTCCACCACTGCCGCGGCAGTGTCTGAAAGTCATCCAAAAGTGACGACCTCTCCAGCACAGAGCCAAAATGACGGGCAGGTATACGAGGAGAGGACAGAAGTGGGCATGGTGGCTCAGGTGGTGGGGTCTACCCATGAGCAACCGTCCGAGGAGATGCAAGAGGTGCTCCAGTTTGCAGCCAGTCAGCTGATGATGAAGGAAGGACTCACTCAAGTCATCGTCAATAATGAAGGGACGCATTATATAGTCACTCAGCTGGACGACTCCACGCTGCACGTTGAGGGAACTGTGGAGGATCCGTCCGGAGAGGAGACCATCGTGTACTCAGAAATCAGTCCTGAATGAGGTGAGAGATTGAGAGATGGTTCTCTTTGGATTTTGCTGAATGTAACATTCAGTTTCTAGGGAACTTTAGAAGAAAGCTTCCCTTGTAAGGTAACTCAGGGTCTGTTTCCAAGATGACACACCAAAATGTCCATGCAAGCTTTTTGGAATGGGTAGTTTTGTTTGTTTATTTGTTTACAACATTATACAGGGTGGGCCATTTATATGGATGCACCTTAATAAAAGGGAAATGGTTGGTGAAATTCACTTCCTGTTTGTGGCACATTGGTATATGTGAGTGGGAAAATTTTTCAAAATGGGTGGTGACCATGGTGGCCATTTTAAAGTCAGCCATCTTGGATCCAACTTTTGTTTTTTTCAATAGGAAGAGGGTCATCTGACACATCAAACTTATTGGGAATTTCACAAGAAAAACAATGGTGTGCTTGGTTTTAACGTAACTTTATTCTTTTATGAGATATTTACAAGTTTCTGATCGCTCATAAAATGTGTTCAATGTGCTGCCCATTGTGTTGGATTGTCAATCCAACCCTCTTCTCCCACTCTTCACACACTGATAGCAACACTGCAGGAGACATGCCAGCACAGGCTTCCAGTATCCGTAGTATCCGTAGTTTCCAGTATCCATAGACGATTGCCTTCAGATGACCCCAAAGATAAAAGTCAAAGAGGGTCAGATTAACAGACCTTGGGGGCCATTCAACTGGCCCACGGTGACCAATCCACTTTTCAGGAAACTGTTCATCTAGGAATGCTCGGACCTGACACCCGTAATGTGGTCGTGCAACATCTTGCTGGATAAACTCAGGGAACGTGCCAGCTTCAGTGCATAAAGAGGGAAGCACATCATCATGGAGCAATTTCAAATATCCAGTGACCTTAAGGTGTCCATTGATGAAGAATGACCCCACTATCTTTGTTGTTTATAGTGTGAAGATACAAGATGTGCAGCACCTGAAACTACGGATACTGGAAGCCTGTGCTGGCATTCCTCCTGCGGTGTTGCTATCAGTGTGTGAAGAGTGGAAGAAGAGGGTTACATTGACAATAGAACACAATAGGCAGCACATTGAACACATTTTATAAGTGGTCAGAAACTTGTGAATATCTCATGAAAGAATCAAATTATGTTAAAACCAAGCACACCATTGTTTTTCTTGTAAAATAATCAATAAGTTTGATGTGTCAGATCACCCTCTTCCTATTAAAAAAAACAAAAGTTGAATCCAAGATGGCCGACTTCAAAATGGCCACCATGGTCACCACCCATCTTGAAAAGTTTGCCCCCTCATATATACTAATGTGCCACAAACAGAACGATAATATCACCAACTATTCCCATTTTATTAAGGTGTATCCATATAAATGGCCCACCCTGTACATTACACAGACGGATATTTCTAAAATTGATGCTTTCTTTATTTGTAAAAAAAAAAATTATGAAGACTAAAAATCAAAACGTTTAAATATATTTTTGCTGTTAAATTTATGTAGGTGTTTAGATTACTAATGTGCTAAATGTACATGTTTCGTTTTCTTTTTCCTTTATGTGTGTTTGAATGCTGTTATGTGAATAGCCTCTTCTTCTGTTGTAACTGGACTATCATGGACTTGCCTTTAAAGAAACTCCTGAAACTGAAGAAAATGCATATTTACAACATTCTTGAGATTTTGTTTTATTAAAAACCTGTGAGTGAACTTCTGAATTTACTATTTAAAGGTTTCCTATTGAGAGTTTAAATAAAGAATACAGAACTTTAAACAAAAATCAATCAGTTTGTTGTCGGATTTATTTCAGACTCAGATGTTTTTAAATATACCTGGGTAGAGTTAATGAAACATATTGCATGCTTTATTTATTATGACAAAGCTGCAACTCGCAATACTGAGAAAGGGACATAACAAGTGTGTATCTTTGGGTGTGTTTAGTTAAAATGTACTTTTCTGCGAAATAAGCAGACCAAGACATCTTTTTAGGTGAACCAAAGACGCAAGATGCAGCCCTGAAAACAGCAGAATGCTCAAGCATACCTTCCTCTCATCATGTTCAGACCAACCATCAAATCCTTGTCTCTGTGCAGGAGATATCTATTAGCAATGAAGTATTTCCTGGCATTTATGAGGTCTTTGTGACCTTCCAGCTGATTAAAAAACACTATGTACAGTCAAATTAACCGCCTCAACCCAAGTCACAGAATTGTTTTGGTTGTGCTTTAAGTTCAGTCTCAAAACATAGCATACATCATAAATGCAGTGGTGCAGTGGGTAGCACATTCGCCTCACAGCAAGAAGGTCAATGGTTCGAGCCTTGGCTGGGTCAGTTGGAGTGTCTGTGTGGAGTTTGCATGTTCTCCCCATGTTCGCATGGATTTCCTCCGGGTGCTCCGGTTTCCCCCACAGTCCAAATACATGTGCTATAGGCAGGGGCGGCTTTAGGAGCCCTATACAATTCCAGCTAAGGGGCTCAAAAGTTCTAAAATGCACCTTTTGCACTTAAATATTTGATTATTAATTTGCTGTTTTTCTTATATCATTTGATCTAATTTTCTACATTTTATCTTAAACAATAATAATGTGTAAAGCACCTTGTAAAATGTTGTTTTAAAATGATTTGTTTTCTTAAGATGAATTCTCAACTAAACATAATTAAGGCTTAGTCCCTTTATTAATCTCTGGTCGCAACAGCGGAATGAACCATCAACTAAACAAAAATAAATGAACTACTTCGTTTTTAAAACTAAATCTTTACTGATTTGACTGCTGGACTGGTCCAAGATTAAAGGTGGGTGACTCATTTGAGCAGATATAATAATTACATTAAAATGTTTAGACTCACACCATACAAAATATATATAGAAAACAATGTTTTATATAAATATATAAATATAATTTATAGTACCATTTATACTTTTAGGTATTTAGTTTTGGGGCCCTCAGATTTCCTGGGATGCTAAGCGGCCGCATACCTTGCTTAATGGTTAAATCCACCCTATAGATGAATTGAATCAACTAAATTGGCCGTATGTTTGTGAATGAGTTTGTATGGATTTTTCCCAGTACTGGGTTACTGCTGAAAGGGCATCTGCTGTGTAAAACATATGCTGGATAAGTTGGCGGTTCATTCCGCTGTGGTGACCCCAAATGAATGAAGGGACTAAGCCGAAGGAAAATGAATGAATGAATAATTCTAATGTTTCCACAAATTAGTTTACTTAGTGAGTAGTAGTACTGTAAAAACTTGTCATCTTGGTTCTATCTCTTTAAATGGTTAGTTTATTACCACTATAGGCATGTCTGTTTGTGTTTTTCCAACACTAGCTAGCTTATGTGACATTGCATATGGAATGAAAACAGCAAGTTTTGAGCTTTGGGGTTCTGTAACAGCCACACAGGATACAGTTGCAGCAACTATCGAAATAAGTCTATATTTAAGTAAAATGAACATACCCAACTGCTGGCCCTACTGAAAAAAACTGCTTAAACCAGCCTATGCTGGTTGGCTTATTTTAGCTGGTTGACCAGCCTAGTTTTAGAGGGGTTTTGGCCACTTCCAGGCTGGTTCCAAGCCTGGTTTTAGCTGGTTAGACAGGAAAATGAACAGCTATATAAAACCAGCCTGGTTTAAGCTGGACCATTTGGCTGGACTCCTAGCCTGGCTAGGCTGGTCAGGCTGGTTTTAGCTGGTCATCTCCCATCTCTTGACTAGCCGGAAAGCAGCCTGAAAGTGGCCAAAACCCCTCTAAAAACCAGCCTGGTTGACCTTAAACCAGCCAACCAGCATAAGCTGGTTTAAGCATTTTTTTCAGTAGGGCGATTAGTTTATTTATTTATTTATTTATTTATTTAATCTAATGGCTTGAGAATGTTTTACTTAAATCTGATTTTTTTTAGAAAGTAGGCTAACACTGTAAAAATAATGCTGGGTTCCACACAGCTCCATCATGCTGTTCCAACACAAATCGATCAAGTTAACTGAGTGGATTGAACATAAAACAACCAGGTTGTTCCAAAACAACTTAAGAATTGTGTTGTTTCAACTCATTTAAAATAAGTAGTTTGAAAAAGTAGCAAAGTTCATTGTTTGAGTGTGGACACCAGTTTTAATTCATAAATTCTTATGTCATTGAATTAGTCCTTTCCTTTAGTTGATTTGGTGTTTATACAATTACATTTTTCCGTTACAGGAGAACCAACAGTTTATTCATTGATTGCCTATTAGTAACAAACACAAACTGCACTTAATTTGAGGTACTGAGATATCCATAATTGTCCGGTAGATGTCGCATCATCCTCATCATCCAGTGTGATATGGCGATGCTGCTGCCTGCACCGTCTCGGCTCACTGAACCAGACGCCATTTTGAAATCCAAATCGCTCACACTACACCCGCTCTATAAACTGGAACTATGCCGCGGGGCCGACCACGAAAACAAAGGATTAAAGATGACAACGAAATCGGTAAAGTCCACTACAGCCTCACGAATAAAAACCTCACACCACAAACTATCAGCTTAAGTGCGCAGTGCATGACGAAAACGCAGGAGAAGTTTAGAGAAAATCATTTGAAGCTTGTGTATATAGTCCCCGGATATAGTATTGCGGGTGTGTGTGCGTGCGTGTGTGTAGCTTTGTGTTTTCGTGCCGCTGCAGGAGTGATTGCGGCGGAATGATATTAATAACACGGTCGTGTGCTGGAGAATGAACGCATCGCTAGAGTGTTGTGTGTCAGACTTAAAGAGTTTACTCAGCTGCTCCGTATGAAGGGATGCGATTATTAATTTAAACGCATTTTTGAGCGAGTCTCCGTGGTTGCTAATGTTAGCTAATGCTTACCTACACTTGTAATGAGGGGTAGAACTTGTCGGACAGTTAGCTGAGTTTAAATCGTATGGAGACTATACATTGACATGGCGATTAACGTTATACTATTTTACACATTGTGCTTTAAATATTTGTTTACTTTTGTTTAACTGAATCAAAACATCTCTAAAAAGAGTAAAAACCCAGACCAGTGGAATCCAGCTCAAAACAAACAAGCCAAGTTTATGATAGTTGTTTTCCTCCTTTTTCTTCTTGTGGCAGGACTAGTGGTGAACTACTTTGTTATTGACTGGACACCTGTTTGTTGTGTTCAACCCGTAACAGCAGTCATTTAATGTTGAATTAAATGGTAGTATGATTATAGTTTTTTATTTAAAGGGAGTTTGCCCAAAACTGAAAATGTACTTGTTTACAGAGCCCCGAATGGTCTGAACCCTGAAGAGTTATCTTTAAAGAAGATATTTTGAAGAAAGCTGAAACTGTAACCATTTACTTCCATTCTAGGAAATACATTTGAAGTCAATGGTTACAGGTTTCCTGCAGTTTTCACAGTAACTTATTTTGTGTGTAACAGAAGAAAACAAACTCCAAAAGACTTAAAACAAGCAAGGGTTGAGTAAATTCTGACATAATTTTCATTTTTTGATGAACTATTGAAAAAAACAGCTTAAACCAGCCTAAGCTGGTTTTAAGGCTGGTTTTAGAGGGGTTTTGGCCACCTCCAGGCTGATTTCAAGCCATTTCCAGCCTGGTCTTTAGCTGGTTTACGCTGGACATAGCTGGTTTTGGCTGGGCTCCTAGGCTGGTCAAGCTGGTTTTAGCTGGTCATCTCCCAACCTGACCAACTAAGACCAGGCTGGAAATGGCTGGAAACCAGCCTGAAAGTGGCCAAAACTCCTCTAAATCCAGCCTAGGCTGCTTTTAAGCTGTTTTTTTCAGTAGGGTTATCCTTTTAGAGTAACACTACAAAACTTGAATTGAGTTACAAATTATATGGAGACTGGGACATGTACTAAACTTTTAAAATGTTTACTGATGTTTAAGAATGCAGAGTTAAACTTGCTAAATCTTTGAACGGGACAATCAGGGTAAATTGTACTGTTATGTGGGATGTGAGTATCTTGTGTAGCTTCTAATGGAAATTACTAAAAGTATAGTAAATAATAATAAACAGAATAATGTAGAGTCTGTATGGTTGCTAATGTTAGCGAATGCTTCCCGACATTTATGATGAGGGGTGGAACTTGTCGGACAGTTATACAAGCAGTCGTATTATGGAGACTACACTGACACGGCGGTTAACGTTATATTATTTTGCACATTGTGTTTTAAATGTCCGTTTATCTTTGTTTAACTGGTTTAAAACACCTCTAAAAAGAGTAAAATCCCAAACCTGTGGAATCCAGCTTAATGTCCAAAACAAACAAACGAGCCAAGTTTATCATAGGTGTTTCCTCCTTTTTTTGTGGCAGGACTCTAGTGGTGAACTACTTTGTTATTGACTGGACACCTGTTTGTTGTGTTCAACCTGTAAGAGCTGTCATTTAATGTTCAATTAAATGGTACTATGGTTATAATATCTTGGATTTAAAGGGATAGTTCACCCAAAACTGAAAATGTACTTATTTACTGAGCCTCTAATGGTTCTGAACCCTTATGAATTTTCTTCATAACATACATTTTGAAGAAAGCTGAAAACCTGTAACCATTGACTTCTGTTCATTCATTCATTTTCTTGTCGGCTTAGTCCCTTTATTAATCTGCGGTCGCTACTGAAAACTTATGAACCGCCAACTTATCCAGCACATTTTTACGTAGCGGATGCCCTTCCATCCGCAACCCATCTCTGGGAAACATCCACATCCATAGCATATGAGTGTGTGTGTGTGTGTGTGTGTTTCCCAGAGATGGGTTGCGGCTGGAAGGGCATCTGCTGCGTAAAAAAAAAACTTGCGGGAAAAGTTGGCGGTTCATTCCGCTGTGGCGACCCCGGATTAATAAAAGGACTAAGCCGACAAGAAAATTAATAAATTAATAAATAGCATGATTTTGATATCTTGGATTTAAAGGGATAGTTCACCCAAAAATAAAAATTGTACTTATTTACTGAGCCTCAAGTGGTTCCAAACCCTCATGAGTTTCTTTTTTCTGTTGAGCACTAAAGGAGATATTTTGAAGAAAGCTAAAAACCTGAAACCATCGACTTCCATAGTAGGAAAAACAAATACTTTTGAAGTCAATGGTTACAGGTTTCTAGCAGTTTTCACAATAACTTCCTTTATGTTTAACAGAACAAAGACACTCCAAAAAGTTTTAAACAAGTAAGGGTTGAGTAAATGCTGACAGAATTTTCATTTTTGGGTGAACTATTGCTGTAAAGTAGCACTACGAAGCTTGAATCGAGTTACAGATTATGTCAGCTGGGTCAAATGACATATGAAGTTTTAAAATGTTTACTGATATTTAAGATTTAAACTTGCTAAATCTGAGAACGGGACATTCAGCATAAATTGTACTATTATCATGTGGAATGTGAGTATCTTGTGTAGCTTCCGATGAACATTATTAAAAGTTAGTAATAATAATAATAAACAGAATAATGTGAAGGCGGTTAAATTTTTGTTAAGTTTCATATAAAAGGATGCTTTACAATATTGTCTTTGTGCATAAACATTAATCAGTACTGAAGCCAAATCTGGAGCTTATCTAACAAAATATATTATGATAACGGTCCAAAAATTAATAGCCCAAATTTATGTGTTAAGGAAAAATATTAAATAAAAATAAAAAAAGGGCAAAATTCAAGAGAAAGAAAAAAATTCTAATTCAATTGTAGTTTGTAATTCTACAATTAGAATCGCGGGGCAATGAGGGGGGGGGGGTCGCCTGGTGATTTCTAAATCTATTTTTATGAAACCATAAGAATTAACATATTTTATCCATAACTATACTGAAAATAAAAATTGTTGTTTATAGTTACTATATACTATATAGTTACTATAGTAGCTTATATTTACTAGTTCTATTGGATTGCGACCCCTGGGGTAATTACATTATATTAAAGGCAGCAATAGCGTCAGATGCATTTTGATTTTATAACATCAGGTTATACTTTCTAGCACATTTTAAGCACTGACACAAATTTAATTGGTGTGTCTGCGTCATTGCATGCAAGGTTTCTGTATTTATAACCACCTCAGAGGATATTGGGGGTCGCGAGTCACTGGCATTGTTATTTTGGGGGTCGCGGGCTGAAAAGTTTGGGAACCCCTGTACTAGGTTATGCTCAGGGCCACCTATAAGAAACAGTCGCCATTATCCACCCCCCACCCGACCACTCCCCAACCCCCTTCTTACCTTCATCTGTGACACCTAGTAGTCTTGGATTTTAGGTTGCGTGAAGGCAGCTTAGCTTTAATTACTCTTTGTTACCATGGTATTATGGAGCAGCTGAGATTAGAACCCTGGTATCTATCACTTATTCGTTTACCTTCGGCTTAGTCCCTTATTTATCAGGGGTCGCCACAGCAGAATGAACCGGCATATGTTTTGGCAACACTTTATTTAGATGCTCCCCCTTTAGATAGTCTGTTGACCATGAGTTACTTTTCAAGTTCTTATCTGTCTACTCTCATCTGGGTAGTATCTGTAGATTGTACTTTGATGAACATCTGTTGAAGATTTGTTACATATCTACTGAAACATTGTTGACCATCTAGAACCTATATTGGTAGCATTTAACTTACCGAAAGTTTAATAAATGTTTACATGTTGTAGACATTGTAATGATCGCCTAAGAACAGTTAAAAGACAATCTACAGATACTACCCAGATGAGAGTAAACAGATAGGAACTTGAAAAGTAACTTATGGTCAACAGACTATCTAAAGGGGGACCATCAAAATGAAGTGTTACCTATGTTTTACACAGCGGATGCCCTTCCAGTCGCAACCCAGTCTTGAGAAACACCTGTACACTCTCACATCCACACACATACCCATACTGTACGGCCAATTTAGCCATTAATAAATGTTTTTTGGGGTTTTTTGCTTTGCAGATGGAGGTCAAGGAGCAAGTTCAGAGAGCCAGAAGCATGCCGAAAACAAATGTAATGTTTGCTCCCAGAATTTCCCTAGTGAGAGTCAACTTCAGAGACACCTGCGAGACCATGAAGTCAATGATAAGGCAAGGGATTATATGTTATCATCTCCTCACTTGAGATCTGCTCTGGGTTCATGGTGGCAATACTGTCATTAACACTGGATTTACATATTGATAAAGGGCAACGGGTTAATTTTTTCACAATCTTAAGCGTTTGGTTTGTGTAGGCATATATAAACATGACAATCACACTTGGATCCTTTTAAAAATATTGCAAATGCATTGCATCAGTCCATGTTAATATATTGTATATTATACATATACATAAAATCTGCGATAAATATTGCGATAAATATTGAGATATGAATACTGTTTTAGAGGATAGTTTGAATAGCAATATACGACGATTTACTGGGGAGTCTAATGGTATTCAGGAACAGAAATTGAATAATCACAATGCAAAAAAAAAAAAAAAATACTTTTCTTACTTTTTGTCTTGTTTCTAGTCCAATATCAAAAATTCTTAGACCAAGTAAAAATATTGTTTAGTTTTAGATACAGATATACAGATATACAGATAGACAGATATACAGATATACAGATAGATAGATATACAGATAGACAGATAGACAGATATACAGATAGACAGATAGATAGATATACAGAAAAATACAGATAGATAGATAGATAGATAGATAGATAGATAGATAGATAGATAGATAGATAGATAGATAGATAGATAGATAGATAGATAGATAGATAGACAGATAGATAGATAGACAGATAGATAGATAGACAGATAGATATTTTTTAATAAAAATCATATAAATTCCAAATAAATACAGTGATTAAATACAATTCTGTAGCTTCTGGTCGACTATAATTCAGACTCAACAATGCATATCTTGGGATGAGACTATTGCAGATTCCCACTTTGCGATATTGATGCTGAAACGATATATTGTGCAGAGCTAATTGGTCTTGTTGTTACATATCAGTAATGATAAATTAACCTCTCATGTACTGACAATATTCTTTACTTCTTCCTGGATTGTAGCCATATCGGTGTGACCAGTGTCCGGCGTCCTTTAACGTGGAGTATAACCTTGACCTTCATAAATCCACCCACACCACCAGTGAACTCAAATGCCCGGTATGCCAAAAGAAGTTCTCAAGAGTGGCTAGTCTGAAGGCTCATGTGATGATACACGAGAAAGAAGAGGTCAGACATCTTCCTACTGAATTCTACTGGAAATATATTCCCTTTGAAAAACTGAAACTTGATTGGTTGATTCATCTTTAAAGGCGACCTATTATGCCCCTTTTCGCAAGATGTAAAATAAGTCTGATGAGTGTGTATGTGAAGTTTGAGCTCAAAATACTTAAATAGTGTTTTATAACTCTAAAACTGACCCTTTTAGTCTTTGATCCTAGTTGTGCCATTTTGGTCACTGTCACTTTAAATTCAAATGAGATTGTGCCCTTTTCAAAAGAGGGCGGAGCTACAAATGCATTTGTGTCAGCAGAGTGGCAGATTCAAAAGCAAGGCTAATGTCCTATGCTAATGAGGTAGAGATCGTAACTAATGGGCGGGGCTTTCCCCGTCTGATGACACGTACGAAGAAGAAAATGTCAATCAAAGTGTTCCTGTAGACTGTTTTTGTGAAGTGTGGCTATAAAAATTTTAATTAATATATTTTTTACCATTAGAAGCTTGTTTTGTTGCCACACAACGGTGATTAAACTCTGTATAATAGTGATTTTTGCATAGTAGGTCCCTTTAAGGTACTGTAAAGAGTCAAGGATATCATAATCCTACTAATTAACTTAATTCAGAATGTAAATATAGTTGCCCTGCTGTCTCTTTTTGCATTGTTTAACAGTATGCTTTGTTTTGTCAGAATTTCCTGTGCTCTGAGTGTGGAGATGAGTTTATCCTGCAGAGTCAGCTTTCTGTGCATCTGGAAGAACACCGGCAGGAACTCAGTGGAGCCAAGTCGTACACCTGCAAGACCTGCAGCAAAGAGTTTGTGACACAAAACCAGCTTAGAGAACATTTGAAAAGTCATGCCAAGATCAGGTGTGGTTGCATGATGACTGCTAAATTAATGTCTTCATAGACAAAGGGTGGTTTTAGAGAAGAAAGAAATCACTAACAGATGATATATGTAATGATAAAGGACAAACGATCTGGGGTGCTTTGTGCATGGTTAATTGTTTCAGAATCTAAATTTCAAACTGCAAAGCTTGAATGTTTATAATAATTTTATATCATTTTTTAAAGGTGGATTTTGTCACTGTTTTGCATCCCACTAGCTAATAGATATCCTTAAAACTAACAGACTGAAACTAACATCTAAAGATTATGGGCCCTATCATACACCTAGCGCAATGCGGCGCAAGGCACGATGCAATTGTTCTTTGATAGTTTCAGCTTGGCGCAAGAGTCGCTTTGATGCTTTGCAGCATTCTGTTTAAATAGCAAATGCCCATAGCACACAACAATGCGCCTTAACACACCTCCTTTTAGACCAGCACACCCATGAGTCCCCAACATGGTGCAAAACGTGAAAATTACCATTGCACTGGTCTGAAAATAGCAACAAATTGTGCCTAACATGTCTTGTGCCTTGTTGCGCATTAGTGTTCGATAGGGCCCATAGTCTACAAAATCTGCGAAAGGGATCATCAGAATAAAATAATACCAATTTTTTTTGGAGCCTGATTACACAAACAAAACAAAGAAATACAATGGACCTATTTTAAGGAAACTGCAAAGAAACATCTCTGACATCATATAATTTCTGAATATATTCAAATTGCAGTAAAATGTCCACAATGTTAACAATTTATTTTTAATATAATACCTCTCGTTAATTTTTGTGACTGGCAAACCATCTTGTGGTTAATTCATGGAGGTGCTGTGTGTTCGAAAACACAGTGGGACGTTCTTGACTGTTTTTTTGAAAGTCATCCAACTTATCAATATCTCCCATTGTTGCTTATGTTTTTTTTACTATGAGATTATTCAGATTTCATTAGTTCTCTTTTTAAGCGAATTGATGTATTGTATGTACTTTTGTTTGCTTGATATGTGCTTATTATAAGTTCAGCTGTGTCGCTTATAATCCAATCTTGAATTCATTTTAAGGCCTATTATAACAAGTTCAAGAAACTACAAGAACATCGATCGAAGGGGATTCAAGAACATTTGCCACCACTGTGGGAAGACGTTCAAGAAACCCAGTCAGCTGGTTCGACATATACGCATTCACACAGGTAAACACTAATAGGTCATTTTTATACCTAAAAAGAGGCAATATTTAGATTTTCATGAACCTGCTCTGTTGCCTGTTTGATCATGTATTTTGTCTCTGTTTCAGGTGAAAGGCCGTATAAGTGCTCTCACTGTGGAAAGTCCTTCAACCAGAAAGTAGTGCTGCAGACTCACATGGTGCGACACACAGGGGAGAAACCTCACATGTGTCAGCATTGTCCTGCATCTTTCTCCCAAAAAGGAAACCTGCATTCACATGTTCAGAGAGTTCACTCTCAGGTAGCTCTTTACTGTAAGGTTGTATTAGTTACTGCATTTACTAACCTGAACAAACAATGAACAGTACATTTATTTATCTTTGTTAATTTATGGTTAAAGTACATGCATGAGATTGTTATTGCTGAATAAAGCCGGACAGGCTTATCGGCAGCCTGATGCAAAATTGACTAAAGCGCATTATTTTTTACATTTATTTTGCAACGGTCCTGGAAGTACTTCATTCTGCTTATTGCACCGGCTACTTGTCACAAAACATAAAAGTTAGACACAAAACATTGTTCTGAGATATAATAGTTTATTCAGTCTTTAATTAAACGCAAATGTGACAGAAACGAAAACAGCTGATGGAGTATACACTAACCTGCAAGTTATTCAGTTACAAGATGGAGCCAAAAGCTAACAGACACGAAACCAGATGGATAGATATGTATGTAAGTACATGGATTTGAATGTACTCACTTAAGGTCACAGATGAGCCTGCGTTATTAAGTAGCTGTCATCTAACATACCTTGGAATATTGTGACTGACTAATCAGAATCGAGTATTCCAGACAGCTGTGTAATAACTCGGGATAACATATTTTGGAATGTTGCAACTGACCAATCAGAAGAAAGTATTCCCGACAGCCTTCTAATAACTTGAGATAACCTATTTTTGAATGTTGCGACTGACCAATTAGAATCGATTTTTTCCAGACAGCCTTGTAATACACCTTGGATTGTTGCGACTGGCCAATCAGAATCGAGTATTCCAGACAGCCGTGTAATAACTCAGGATAACATACCTTGGAATATTGCGACTGACTAATCAGAAGCAAGGATTCCAGACAGCTGTGTAATAACACAGGACAACATACCTTGGAATGTTGCGACTGACCAATCAGAATCAAGTATTATAGAGAGCTGTGTAATAACGTTGGATAACATTCTTGCAATGTGGCTACTGACCAATCAGAATTGAGTATTCCAGACAGCCCTGTAATAACTCAGGATAACATACCAAAGAATGTCGCAACTGACCAATCAGAAATGAGTATTCCGGACAGCCATGTAATATCTCAGGATAACAAACCTTGGAATGTTGCGACTGACCAATCAGAATTGAGTATTCGAGAGAGCTGTGTAATAACATTGGATAACATTCTTGAAATGTTGCTATTGACCAATCAGAATCGAGTATTCCAGACAGCCCTGTAATAACTCGGCATAACATACAATAGAATGTTGCAACTGACCAATGGGAATCGAGCATTCCAGACAGCCGTGTAATAACTCGGGATAATATACCTTGGAATGCTGCGATTGTCCAATCAGAATGGATTATTCCAGTCATGATAACGTAATGAATTTTAATCATGCATTAGTAAATGTTGAACTATGATTAATAAATGCTTTACAAGTATTGCCCATTATTAGTTCATAGTAGTAAATACATTACCTAATGAAACCTTATTGTAAAGTGTGACCAAACAGGCTTTATGTTTTTCAGGCGGCTGGTGTTCCTCTCTTCCCATGTATGGACTGTAGCTGTGTGTATAAAAAGCTTGGAAGCCTTAATGCTCACATCAGCAAAATGCACATATCTGTAATGGAAGTGGAAGAGCCAGCCACACAGGTGATTACAGTCTGTTCCTGTCTGAGATAACTCTTCTTATTGCTGATATCTTAGGGGTATTATCTGCCACCCTGGTTTTAATATGTTAGAATAAAAATTATATTTTTATAATCTATTATTATTTTGTATTTGTTAATGTTTTTGCATATGGAGGACCAGGAGTGACACTTAAAAATAAACTTAAAAATGAATATATATGTATACAAATCTGGCCTTGACTAAGAGGAATACAAAGACATTTTGTAGAGTGAAAAGCCATTTGTTAATAGTTCTCCTGACCCATCCATAAAGGATTGCTGTGTTTTTCAGAAAGTACATGCGCAGGTTGATCAGGGTGCAGTAGGGTCAGAAGGCCCGGAGGGTGTGACAGATGTGATCCAACAGCTGCTGGAGCTTTCTGATCACGTGACGGCTGATAGTGCTCAGGCACCTCCACCTGGGCAAACCATAGGCGCAGCCATCAACCAGGACATCCTACAGGTACCCGATAACCCTTTTACTTAAGGAAAAAAAATGTAATAGGAATATAAGATAAGATGAAGCATGTGCAAGATGGTTCTCTGATCCAATTTGTTGGCATTAAATACACTAATCTGATTTCATGGTAGTATAAATCCATGTGCTTCAGTTTGCATTTCAGTTGCTACCCATATCAAACACACCTAAACCAATTAATTAGGACCTGAACACCACGTGATAATTACAGCCAGGTGTGTTGATTATGGGTTGCAACTGAGATCTGCAGGAAGGTAGCTCTCCTGGAACAGGATTGGCCACCCCTGATCTAGGTTATGGAATGCTCTCCCTTATTGTGTATGAAATGCTTCCACTAGCTAGTTTTAAGAAGATGCTAAAAACTCATCTTTTTAAGACTGCATTTGTAGATTTATAATTTAGTTTATAATTTATATAAACTATAATATTATATAATTATATAATATTATATAATATATAATATTATTATTATTATATTATTATTTGTTTATAATTTAGAACTTTTTTTAATGTATACTTGTATTTTATTACATGTTTGATTACTTTGTTGTTGTCTTAGAGAAGCGCATTATAAATAAAATGTATTATTATTGTATGGTTTGATCTGTTCTGTAGACAATGGTTGTGCGATGGTTTGTTCTGTAAGGCAAGGCAAGTTTATTTATATAGCACCTTTCATACACAGTGGCAATTCAAAATATTTTACATAAACATGAAGTAGGTAATCTGAACAAAAATATTGCTTAAGATATTAATATTATTGACCTTAAAATGGTTTTTAAAAAATTTAAAAATGCTTTTATTCTAGCCGGAATAAAACAAATAAGACTTCCTCCAGAAGACAAAATACTATCAGACATACTGTGAAAAATCCCTCGCTCTGTTAAACAGCATTTGGGAAATATTTGAAAAAAAAATTCACAGAAGGGGCTAATAACTCTTACTTCAACTGTTTGTAAGATTCACGGTTCATGACGGATTACATTGGCTCTGATGAAAATGCTAATGTGGTGTTTTCACAGCAAGCTTTGGAGAACAGCGGACTGACTGAGATACCTGTTCAGCCTGAAACTCAGAGCAGCTCCGAAAAGCTTCAGTCGGACACAGTTTCCCCGATGGCCAGTTCAACAGATGGACCAGTCCCTTCAAAAATACTCATGACTGACACAATAGTAATAAAGGAGAAAAGAAACATAATCAAAAAGCCTACACAGATGCTAGGTACGTTGGAATGCTAGGTTGCTAGGTATCCTACACTCTCAAAAATAAAGGTACAAGAGCTGTCACTGGGGCAGTACCTTTTCAAAAGGTACATATTTGTACCTGAAGAGTCCATATTGG